TCTTCTGATAGAGTGGGAGGGAGAGAGGGAGGAAGAGAGACAGAAACATCAACAGTGAGAGAGTTGCCACCCACACGACCCCAACCAGGGCAGGGGACAAACTGCAACCAAGCAAGAACTGGTCCTCAGGCTGATGCTCTAACCACTGAGCACCGGCCAGGGCCACATTCATTTTTTACTTTACTTTTTGACTATTGTGAATAGTGCTATTATGTGTATTATCCTTTTTAATATATTGTTGGACTTGATTTGCTAAAATTCTGTTAAGAATTTTTATATCTATATTTATAGGGAGTATTGGTCTGTATAAATTTTTCTTGTAATGCCTTTATCTTTTTTGTTCTTAGAACAATGCTGGCCTCAGAATTATTTAGAAAGTATTCTCTCTGCTTTAATTTTTTTGAAAATATTGAATTCTTGTGTAGGATTGGTATTATTTCTTTTGTAAATGTTTGGTAGAATTCACCAGTAAAGCCATGTGGATTGGAGTTTTCTTCATGGGAAGACTTTAAAGTATAAATTCAATTTTTAAAATAGATACAAGACTATTCAGGTTGTCAATTTTTTTTTGAGTGGGCTTTAGTAGTTTTCATTCTTTTTTTCTTTCTCCCTCCTACCTTAGCAGTTCCAGGGTGATTTACTCTATGTATACTCTGGTTGGGGAGAAGAGGCATTAAAATTCCCCTTTCCCTTCCCTCTCCTTTCCTGCATAGAAGGGGTATTTAGCCATTTGCTCTCAAGTGTCTTGGTTAGGGAAGATAATGGCTTATTATTTACAAGCTAGCTGCAAGCTCCCCAAACTGTTTGGCCTTATTTAATTTACTTGTCTCGGTTTCCCTATGCCACTTCCTTAAGAATTTTCCTAGCTTCTCACTATCCTGTAATAGTTTGTGTCTTTCAAGAAATTTGTCCACTTTATCTAAGTTAAGATCATTAAGCTACTGACTATGAGCTAGTCTGGTTTGCTGACTGTTTTTGGTAAATAAAGTTTTATTGGAACACAGCTATACCCATTCATTTACAAATTGTCTGTGGTTATTTTTGTGCTATGGTGGCCGAGTTGACTAGTTACAAAAGAGATGGTATGGCCCATAGAGCCTGAAATATTATCTGGCCTTTTGCAGAAAGTTTGCCAATCCCTGATCTAAGTTTTCAAATTTAATGGCATAAAGTTGCCCATAATATTCTCTTATTATTTTTTTAATGTCTGTAGAATTTGTAGTGATATTACCTTTTTTATTTCTGACATTCATCATTTTTATTTCATTGATTTCCACTCTGATCTTTACTGTTTTCATTCTTCTTTTTACATAAGGTTTAATACGCCCTTCTTTTTCTAGTTTCTGCTTTTAAAAATTGGTTTTAGAGAGGGAGAAAGAGAGAGAGGGAAATATTGATTTGTTGTTCCACTTATTTATGCATTCATTGGCTAATTCTTTTTTGTTTTTAACAATTTTTTTTCTTTTATTGATTTTAGGGAGAGGAAGGGAGAAGGAGAGAGAGAGAGAGAAACATTGATGAGAAAGAACATCGATTGGCTGCCTTCTGCATGCCCCCCACTGGGAATTGAGGCCACAACCTGGGCATGTGCCCGACTGGGAATCAAACTGGTGACCTCTTGGTGCATGGGTCGACACTCATCCACTGAGCCACACCGGCCAGGCTCATTGGCTAATTCTTTCTTATATGTGCCCTAACCAGAGACCAAACCCTCGACCTTGGCAAATGGGGATGACGCTGTAATCAACTGAGCTACCCAGCCAAGACTTCTTTTTGTAGTTTCTTTTCTGTTTTTAAAGATTTTTAATGGATTTTGGGGGGTGGGGGGGGAGAGGAGAAACATTGATGTGAGAGCAAAACATTGATTGGCTGTGTCCTGTATGCCCTTCACCTAAGTTTGTAACTTGGGCATGTACCCTGACTGGGAATCCAGCCAACCAACTGAGCCACACTGGGCAGGGCCTCTTTCTAGTTTCTTAAGTGGAAGCTGAGGTCATTAATTTGAGACCCTTTTTATTTTCTAATGTAGGTGATTAGTGAAATAAATTTCTCTTTAGGACTGCTTTAGTAGCATCCCACAAATTTTGACATGTTATGCTTTCACAAGAGAAATGGGCTCAGGGAAATTTTCAAAGTTACCAGCAATGTTCTGTTTCTTAAGCTGGGTAGTAGGTAGATGGGCATATTTATGTGTACATTTATTCTTTATACTGTATATATAAATATTCTTTTGTGTGTATTTAGTATTTAACAAGTAACTTTTAAAAAGTGTCAATGGGCCCTGGCCAGTGTGGCTCAGTGGTTGAGCATTGACCTGTGTACCAATAGGTCGCTGGTTTGATTCCCGGTCAGGGCACATGCCCAGGTTGTGGGCCAAATTCCCAGTGTGGGGCATGCAGGAAGCAGCCAATTGATATTTTCTCTCATCAATGTTTCTATCGCCCTCTCCCTCTCCCTTACTCTCTCTCTAAAATAAATAATTAAAAAAAAAAACCGTGGACTTCCGGTCAAGATGGCGGCGTAGGGAAACGCAGTATCATGTTCTCCCACAACCACATCCAAGTTACAACAAAACTACAGAACAACCATCATCCAAAACCGCCTGAAATCAAGCTGAATGGAAGTCCTACAACTACGTAATTAAAAAAAAAAAAGGCAGCTACATCCAGACCGGTAGGAGGGGCGGCGGCACGAGGGGTGGCGGCAGCGGCGCAGCGGTGTGGTGGGACGGGCTGGTCCCACACCCAAGTGTGGCGGATAAAAATCAGGAGGCTCCCGCGGCTGGGAAGGTCCTTCCTGAGGACTGAGGGGTCCCCGTCCCACACCAGGTGCCCCGCTCAGGTTTCCAGTGCCAGGAAGAGAAGTCCCCATAACTTCTGGCTGGAAAAACCAGCAGAAACTGAGGCTCAGGGAAGCTGACCTGGCTGGAGCCCCAGGCAGCTCCCTAAAGGGCCCGCGCACGGACTGGTCGGACTCTCTCCCTCTAAGCTCGGAGTGGAGGCAGCTCGAGGGGCACCAGAGACATACAGGGAAGAACTGAGCTGTTTGGCACTGGAGCGAGGGCTGGAGAGGGGGCTTTCTCAGGGACAAACGTGCTGTAAGAGGCCTTTGTTCCTTTGGTGAGCCCTTCCCTGGGGCGGCAGACAGTCGCCATATCTGGGACTCCAGCAACCTGGCTCACACTGGTAGCTCCACCCTGCTGACTCCCTGAGGCCCCGCCCCACCCCGCCCCACACAACTTTCAAGCCCACCCAAGCTGTTGCTACTTGCTTAACCATAGGATTGGCCTGTCTTGGATCCTGCTTCAGGTTTTTCCTAAATTCTTTCAAACGAGCAGCATCTGGTCTCAACGAGCCCCATACCTCTCATTAAGTAATACACAGAAACAAACACAGGGAGGCAGCCAAAATGAGGATACAAAGAAACAGGTCCCAAATGAAAGAACAGAACAAAACCCCAAGAAAAGAACTAAGCGAAATGGAGATAAGCAACCTAACAGATGCTGAGTTCAAAATACTGCTTATAAGGATGCTCAATGAACTCAGTGAGGGCCTCAAGAGCATAAAAAAGTACCAGTCAGAAATGATCGCTGCACAGTTAGAAACGAAGGAGGCTTTAACTGAAATAAAGAATAATGTACACAGCTTCAATAATAGAGTACGTAAATCCAAGGAGCAAACCATCGATTTGGAATATAAGGAAGCAAAAAACGCCCAACCAGAACAGCAAAAAGAAACAAGAATCCAAAAAAATGAGGATAGTGTAAGGAGCCTCTGGGACAACTTCAAGCGTGCCAACATTCGCATCTTGGGGGTGCCGGAAGGAGAAGAGAGAGAACAAGAAATCGAAAACCTGTTTGAAACAATAATGGCAGAAAACTTTCCTAACTTGGTGAAGGAAACAGACATACAAGTCCAGGAAGCACAGAGAGTCCCAAACAAGATGAACCCCAAGAGGCCCACACCAAGACACATCATCATCAAAATGCAAAAGGTTCAAGACAAAGAGAGAATCTTAAAAGCAGCAAGAGAAAGGCAGCTAGTTACCTACAAGGGAGTTCCCATTAGGCTGTCAGCTGATTTCTCAAAAGAAACTTTGCAGGCCAGAAGGGAGTGGCAAGAAATATTCAGAGTGATGAAAAGCAAGAACCTACAACCAAAATTACTCTATCCTGCAAAGCTGTCATTTAGAATCGATGGACATATAAAAACTTTCCCAGACAAGAAAAAGTTAAAGGAGTTCATCACTACCAAACCGTTATTATATGAAATGATGAAGGGTCTTTTTAAAGAAAAAGATAAAATGTATGAACAAACAAAATGGCAATGAATACATATCTATCAACAATGGAATCTACAGACAAAATGAACAGGAAGAACAGGAACATTCTCATAGATACAGAGAACATTTTGTTGGTTGCCAGTTGGGAAAGGGGTTGGGGGAATGGATGAAAAAGGTGAAGGGATTAAGAAGCACAAATTCATTGCTAGACTGACAAACCTCAAAGGGAAAGGGGTTGGGGGTGGTGGGAAGAAATAAACCAAAGAACTTATATGCATAACCAATGGACACGGACAATAGTTTGGGAAAAGGTGGGAGGGGGGCGGGAGTGGGGAGGAGGGAGTCAATGGGGGAAAATGTGGAACATCTGTAATACATTTTACATCCAACAATAAAGATGTGGAAAAAAAAAACAAAAACGTGTCAATGGGGGGTGAGGATGTAATCACCTGTGGTAGACAACTGTGTTAGGTTGTACAGTGAAGCAGAGAAAGGGGGTAGTAATTAAAAACAATGGGGCATAAAAGGAGAGCTTCTTTTTGTGTTGTTTTGTTTTAAAGATAGGTGATTCCAAAGTAAGTTTTCTGAAAAGAAGAGTCATGTACTTTATGAAACCATACAAACAGGTATAAATGTCATATCCTGATATGAAATAATGTGTTTAACCAGACCTTTTGCCTTAGAATAATAAGAATAGCTTTTTTTTTCTTTTCTTTTTTCTATGTCGGATGGTTGATCTTGAGCCCGCAAGGAACAAGCTGGCTCTAGACTTCTCCAAGTTCACATTTCTTTGCCTCCAATTCTTATATGTCCAAAGACAGGGAACCACAGATATGCCTTTGTAGGAGGGTTATTTCTTTTTCTTTTCAGAAGTTTGAGTTCTGCTCCAGTACAGAAAACAAATACTTCATCGAGTCCCAAGAATTCCCTACCAAAAACTATGGCATAATTATCTTGCCCTAAAAATGATCAAATCAGATACTACATTTAGTTACTCGCTACTATAAGTAAATAACTACATTTTATTTATTTATTCAAAACAATTTTTTCTTTATTGATTTAGAGAGAAAGAAAGGGAGAAGGAGAGAGATAGAAACATTAATGAGAAAGAACATCGACTGGCCACCTCCTGCTTGCCCCACATTGGGGATCAGGCCTACAACCTGGGCATGTGCCCTGACCAGGAATCGACTGGCGACCTATTGGTACATGGGTCGATGCTCAACCACTGAGCCACACCAGCAGGGCAATAACTACATTTTAAATGTAGTTATAAAGGAGTAAGGTGAAGGTGAAAGAAATGTCTATTTTTATTTGCCATAGGATAAACAATGAAATAAGCTATTTATAGGCAATTGTCTGTACCATGCTTAATTATTTAATGCTGTATAACTTCAGGATGCTTCACAAGACATCTAAGTAATCATTGAACTGTGCAATTTATTTTATTTCTGTATATATTTAAATACGTTTTATATGTGGACAAGATAGTAGAACACACTTAAATAGCTAGTTGCTTTTTTTTGTTGTTTTTTCTGTATGGCATCTCTTGTCAATCATTTTTTCCCCTCTAATAGGTTGTGTGGTTCCAGGAGCAGGTGCAGTTGAAGTGGCAATAGCTGAAGCTCTTATTATTTACAAGCACCGTATAAAAGGAAGGACTCGTCTTGGAGTCCAAGCTTTTGCTGATGCCCTACTCATTATTCCTAAGGTATAACTTTCCTAATGGCCAAAAAACAAATGGTTAGACATAAGGTGTTTAATTATAAGTTGCCCCTATTATCTAACAGCAGAGTACAAGACCTATTTATTTATATTTCCTCACACAGTTTTGTTTAAGATATTTTATAGCTAAAGCAGGGAAATATTTGAAATAACAACTCAGAATCCTTGTAGGAGTTTAGTGAAATAGCCAAATTATCCCCTTGCTTTGTTGTCTGAGTTCCAAAAGTTGAAGTAACTCTAAAAATTTTCTTCAGAAACGCTTCTTGATTAACTAATCATAATGAAAAAGTTTAGAATTTGAGATTCAATTAGATTTTAGAGTAGACCTTTATTTTGTTGATGGTATCCAAAGTATGATCACTTTAGGTTGTGCAAAGTGAGAACTTCAGGTTGTTGAGCACTCTCAAATACTAGCTTGCATTCTATTTTCATTATAATTCCTCAGAAAAGGAGAGAAACCAAATTATTTTTTTCATGTAGCAGAAGGACAGAGAACTACCATTCCTTTTCCTTTGCCTTAATCTGGTTGTGAACCACTTAGAAGCACAGAAAAACTGTTTCAAATATGTTATTACCATGAATTAAAACATTACTAATAAGGCTAGCAAAGTATCTTTTTTATTTTTTTTGTTAATCTTCACTGGAGGATATTTTTCCATTGATTTTTAGGGAGTGGAAGGGGGGGGGGGAGAGAGAGAAATATTGATGTGAGAGAGACACATCGATTGGGCCTCCTGTATGCCCTTGACTGGAGCCCAGAGCTAGAACTTCCAAACCAGATACGTGCTCTTGATCAGAATTTAACCCACAACCCTTCAGTCTGCGGGCCACCTCTGTAACCACTGAGCCAAACCAGCCAGGGCAGCAAAGTCTCTTTGATATTTGCTTTAAAATTATTAATAATGTTTGGAATCTTTGTGAATCAGAAACCTGTATGTTTCTTGTTTTTAAATATGTTTTTATTGATTTTTTAAGACAGAGAGTAAGGAAGAGAGAGAGAGAAACATCGATGTGAGGGAGAAGCATTGATCGGCTGCCTCTTACATGTCTCCTACTGGGGATCGAGCCCACAACCAGGTACGTGCCCTGACTGGGAATTGAACCGGGACCTCTCAAGCTATGGGATGATGCTCAATCCACTAAGCCACATTGGCCGGGCAGAAATCTGTATTTTTCTTTCCCCAAAGCAATAAAGTCAGTAAGTAATGATCTTGCAGTTGACACAAACTGGAAAACCTAGTGTACATTGGTCATACTTTTTTACTCATCAGCTGTTATTTTGGGACCACTTATAAATAAACCTGGTTTGGAGTGCAGGTATCTCCATCTCTGTTGCCCCAGGTCACGACTCTCCCCATGTTGATGAGGGGCACAAAGATGCTGTAAACAGAAAGGTTTCCTTTTGCAAGTGCCCAAGAAAAACTGGAATAGAGTGATGAGAGGGACTAGGGGAAACAAGAATACCATTCTACTTCCTTTCATTTTTTTAAAAAAATCTTTTGCAAGGAGGGACATTAATTTAGTGGGGTGGGGATGGGAGAACTCTAATACCCTCCTCAGAATTTAGTGTGTTGTACATAGGGAAAATGTTTAAGTAAATACAAAAAATGCTAGAAACACCAAATAATCATTTGATTTAGATTAAGAATGAAATTCCTCAAAAGGAGATGATTACTATATTATGAATGTGTTTTCACAAGACTAGAGAGCAATGCCTTATGTTTTTTATTTGATATTCATGTATATATATAAAGGTATTCCACATATATATTTATTGTTCTTTGTATTTCTTAAGGTTCTTGCCCAGAATTCTGGCTATGACCCACAGGAAGCACTAATAAAAGTTCAGGCTGAGCATTTAGAATCAAAAGAACCTATTGGCATCAATTTGAATACAGGTAAGAAAGTGGAAGAAAATTAGTTGCTTAATAAAGAGGTTATACTATAGTGACCCAGAACTTATAGTAAGAGGGTAGAAGTTTGAGTGATTTTAATATTTAAATTTGGGTACCTTTTAGTTTACTTTTGAGCTGCTTTTTTTTTTTTTTTTTTTTTATTCTCACCCGAGGACATTTTTCCATTTTTTGTTCAGATAGAGCGGGAGGGAGAGAGAGAGAGAGAGAAACATCTATGTGAAGGGACACATCGAGTGGCTGCCACCCGCACGACCAACCAGGGCCGAGGACAAATTGCAACCAAGGTACATGCCCTTAGCGGGAACCGAACCCGGGTCTCTCAGGACCGCAGGCCGACGCTCTAACCGCTGAGCCAAACCGGCCAGGGCTACTTTTGAGCTTCTTAAAGCATTCATTCATTTAGTCATTGAGTGCTTGTTATTTGATTCTTGGGATTCACATAGAACAAAACAGACAAAAATTCCTGCCCTTGTGAGTTTGTTGTAGTGGGGAAGGATAGACAGTACAAAATAACCTTAATATATAAGTTATTTTTAGCATTTTTAAAAGTAATAAATTCTATGAAAAAATAAAATAACAATATAGGGATGATTGTGAATGCTAGCACAGGAGGATGGGGAGGGGGTTTCAATTTAAAGAGAGTGGTCAAGGTAAGCCTCATTGAGAATATGTCTATTGAAAAAAAAGAAGAAGTTAGCCATATGAAGCACTGGGAAAAGAGTATCCTAGGCAGAGGGAAAAGTCACAGTCTGATATTTTTGAAGGGGAGGAAGGAGGTGAGGTAGGTAGGTAGTAGAAGGTCAGATTATGTAGGGGCATATGGGACAGTCTAAGGACTCTGACTTTTACTGTAGTGGAAAAGGGAGAAATTTTGAGCAGAGGTGTGACATGGTCTAATTATGTTTAAAAGGATCACTGGCTACTTTGTGCAGAGGAGTTAACTGAACAACAACTGGAAGGTTGGAATTTCCACTGGAGAAGACTGTAGGCAAAGCTGGTTGTAGTGTGTGTGTGTGTGTGTGTGTGTGTGTGTGTGATCAGCACTGAGCTTTGGCAAAGCTAAGTGTGAAGTATCTGTAGATTTTCAAGTAAAATAGATAGTCGGATGTATGAGTCTGGAGCTCAAGAAAGAGGTCTTGGTTGGAGAAAAAAGCTTGAGAGTCATCAGAGTATATATGGTTTAAAGTCCAGGAGTCTAGAAGAGATCACCTAGAGTGAGTGTAGACAGAAGAGAAGAATCCAGGACTGAGCCTGTAGGTACTCTAACAGTAAGAGCTCAGGGAGGAAGAGGAAGAAGCAGCAAAGCAGACAGAAGAGAAGATAACAGGTGAGTATGCTGTCCTCGAAGACAAGTGAAGGAAGAATAGTCAGGAGGGTGTGATCACGTGTGTTAAGTGCTGCTGATAGATGAGGCCTGAGAATTGACCATTGGATTTGACAACATGGTGACCGTGACAGTAGTAGTTTTGGTGGTATATTAAATATTGTTAGAATATACAACAAATATTAATATATCAACATTGTAGTATTAAAGTAGTTTTTACTTTGTAGGTGAGCCAATGGTAGCAGCAGATGCAGGAGTTTGGGATAATTATTGCGTGAAAAAACAACTTCTTCACTCTTGGTAAGTTTGTATTAATAAACGAGAAAGACTTTTGGAGACATAATTGATAACATAATTTTTTTCTATTATTTTTGCCATCCTACAGTGGAAAAATGGTTAAATGTATGAAAAGGCAGGGTATTCAGTTGTTAAGACTGGCTTCTGTCATTTTACAGTCCCTCTAACATTTTAGTTCTAACAATAAGTTATAGGAAATGTTAATCTTACTGTTTATTTGAGGGGGAAGAAAAAGAGAATTTTACTGAAACAGTACCACATGCATAGTGGAAAAAATCAAATGATATGCTAAAAATGAGGTCATTCTTTTTTTGTTGTTGTTAATCCTCACCTGAGGATATTTTTCCACTGATTTTTAGATAGTGATAGAGTGAAAGGGAGGGAGGGAGGGAGAGAGAGATTGAGAGAGAAACATCAATGTGAGAGAGACACATCTATTGGTTGCCTCCTGTATGAACACGGCTGGGGATTAAACCTGCAACCCAGGTACATGCCCTTGACTGGGAATCAAACCCAACTGTTTCGTCCATGGGCCATCTCTCTAACCACTGAGCAAAAACTGCCAGGGCTGAGGTCAGTTTTGTTGGA